GTTTGCGTGTAAACGAAGGGCACAAACGAAGGAAGATGTGTAAACGGCCTCTGAAATGTGTAGTTTTGTCTTGAAAATCAGTCTGTATCTGGTGTGACCACTATTTGTCTCATGCAGTGCAACAGATCAAAAATCACATGATGCAAAACAAAATCAAAAATACTGCATTTCAATTATTTTTAATATTTTTTTGTGACATGCTCTGCGAGGGAGCGTTTTTTAATTCAATGAAAATAAGGTGAAAATTGGGTGGTAAAGAGGTTAAAAGGTTAAAGTGGTCTGTTCATGGTCGGAAACTTTTCCTCCTCCTTGTTTGATGAATAGAGGACGTCATTTTGCATTTTAACACATTGTTCTGACAAAATCTTGTAACGCCAGGCTGGCAGATGGATGCAATGGATGTAAGATGATTCTTTCAGGCGTTGATGGACACATCTGTCAGCGTATACATCCTGTATCACACACACACATACACACAACCCCCCTCCACCCCTTGAGACAGCCCAGAATCTCTCCACTACGCCTTACAACCTCCTCCTCCTCCTCCTCCTGCAGCTCATTCACCTCCCACCGTGCTCCTGCTCCTCACGGCCTCTCAGCACATTAAAATCCCCACTAAGACCTGAGAGATCAGACTGAAGCAGCCACCACTCTCTCCTTCTATTCAGCCTCCACTCTGATTAAACTGCAGCAGGTTTGTCACAGATGTTGTCCAAACTCATGACTGGCCTCCCACTGAGGACTGTGAACTACCAAGAGTGTGATAGCAGGTGACTCAAAAGTATTTTCTACATTTTTATCAATTAAATAGTTAAAAACATACCTAAAAAAGAACATCATTTTGGTGTGCTTCTGTCCTGTTTTGTAAATCAGATGACAGCCATTCTGAGTGTGGTGCTAATTTGATTTATGAAACACGGGACCCTTGGGGAGGCAACAGCTCAGAGGGCAGACATATGTTGCAGTGCAACACGATAGCAGGCCTCAGTAACTTGACAAATTGGGGTTGTAGTTATTAAAACATCTCACGTTGGTATGGCTGCTGTGAAGGCAGAGATAACCACAACAGACGGGCATAACCACAACACAAGAAAGTTATTTTCTGGCTTGACAATGTTGGACTGGACAATATAAGACAGAAAGTGTGTTGCTAATAAAATAATACTGTAAGCTAACTAGCGGCTTTGTGAGGATGTACTTCAGCACAGCTTTGCTTTGAGACACAGACCAGTCACCAGAAGAAAATGTTAGCATTGTGCGTTTCTGCAAACCAACGATATATTACAGTTCATATGTATCTGATTCTGATTACATGTATGTGAGCTGACTTTGTCATTGGCAGTTGGATGACATGTCACCGAGGTGAGACACCTGCCAAGCTGCAGACCACAACATGGGTTGTTTTTCAGCAACCCGTCGCTACGCTTCACACATATAGAAGCCCATATTTCAGTTACCAGCAAAATGTATATGTGTGTGTATGTCTGTGTGTGTGTGTGTGTGTGTGTGTGTATATACCCTGTGGGTGACATCCCATATGGTTTGCTGACCATGTCACACCCATGTCTGTCCCCTGGCAGTGGCCCTGCCAGCTCTGACTGCTGCTGGCAGCCGGGACGTTTGGACAAAGAAACTCAACCTGACAGGATTCAGGGAAGCTAAAGCAATGTTTGGAAACACACAAACACAGACACACACACAGGCTGTCTTAGAGTTGACTGTGCTGCAATGTCAGCCTCCACTTTCATGCTTATCGAATATTGGAACATGGACGCAGGGATTTGATCCCAGTCAGCCACAATAGCATTAGTGAGGTCCGAAACTCATATTGGATGATAAGGTCTGCCCCACAGTCCAACACATTCTCTCTTCGACCGCGTCACATATAGACATTCGGTCATGGACCTTCCACGTCCAGATACGACGTGTTGACGTTCTCGGACACTGCATCAAGTTCTGCCTGTTACATGCATTGTCTTCTTTCAAAATACTTAACATTTACATACAGTCTCTTTCAAAATAAAAGCACTATGTTAGTACAACAACGCGATCTGACGGGATTTTTTCCTCCTCCAACAACTAACGCATGAGGTTAGGTTTAGGAAAAAAGAACAGGGTTTGGCATTATAATCTTACGGGACGTGAACACCTCTCTCTTGATAGTTGGAGTTTGTTGGACCCATCCACCATCCCTTCTGCCCGCCTCACTCAGACTTTCACCGCCTTAACTTTCGTTGTTGTTGTCGCGTTTCCCCCTGACGCTCTCCAGTGCTGTTAAACTATAACGGCATTTGTCCGCATATCATGTCGACGTTAAAGGATGGCTTTGTTCGTCAGTGTCTGACGCTGCAAGTCACTGCCAAAGCGCCAGATTTCAACAACTTTGGAGTGAGACTACGTTGTACAGTCAGTGCTCCGGTTCATCCAAAAGATTTAAGATGAGGTTGAGGTCAGTTCTTTTGCACCAAACTGGGAAAACCATGTCTTTATAGACCTGGATGGTGGCGGCATTGTCACTGCAAACCCTGAATAATAGGCCCAGACCAATAGCACAAAAAGCGTGTGGACAGAGGTTTAATCACTCAATCATTTCTGTCACGACAACAGCAGCTCAACAGACTGATGGACAACAGGAATGAGAACTTATTCCGTTACTAAATTTGATGCTTATATGTTTGTCAGATTGGGGGCAGGTGCACACACCACGCCATATCACTCTCGTGAAAGGCATTTAGGAGGCCCTCATCCTGGAGTCATTCAAAGTGTTGTCCACCCATCAGACAACTGGTCCCCACTGGCCCCCAGCACACCCCTCTGAGACCTCTGTGTCTCCGCATTGGTCGATTCACGTCCCAGTCCTGCTCTCCTCAGACTCACTTTGATGTTTAATCCCATCCTGACTGTGTCCTCCTTCAGTCCGCCGAGCCGCTCGGCCAGTCATGAATATCCAAAGGTCTGCTTACTTGACAGGATTATCCCTCTTTTCAAAGCCACTGGGGACGATTCCTCAGCCACAAAAAACACACTCAATGGATCTTCTGCTCTCTCGCTTTGTTTCTCTCGCTTTCCTTTACTCTCACTCCCTCCTGCCTTTGTCCCTCTTTGCTTTTACTAAACACATTGATCCACCCGATCGAGGAGTTCATCCGCTGCTGTTCATAGATTATTGAACACACACACACGAGCATTGTTAAGTTCTTAAGTATCTTGCACTGCAGAAACATCCTTATAAGTTTATAAATGGAATGAAATACACACACCTTTGCTTTCATGATTAGTGCAGCTGATTGAACTGCATCGTATCAAACTTTGGTTACAAGCTGCATTACAATCACATCCAGGCTACAGGTACATGGGTTCAATCTGCAAACCCATAATTGATCCATTACCAGCAATCATCTCTAAATCGTTCCCAACCCAACCTGTTAGTGTAAGGCCTTTGGGGCCAACCCAAACGTACAATCAATCAGAGCTGGCTGCTGTGTGAGACACGGTTTGGGAGCTGCAGGGTGCACAGGAGACTGGGAATTAAATAATTGTATAAAAAGATGACACAGTGCTGTATTCCAGTTGCACAGGCAAAAGCTTCCTTCATGTTTTAATGGATTGAAAATATACCATTTGCATAAAGTCTCTTTCAAAATAAAAGCAATACCGTTGACATCTTTTTTTTTCCTTCAACAACTGACACACTTGGTTGGGTTTAGGCAAGAAGAACAGGGTTTGGCTTTATAATCACATGGAAGGGGAATGCTGACCTCCCGGGTGAAAGCCGATGTTTGTTGGACCCATCCACCAACCGTACTCGGAGTTTTCACCACCTTAACTTACCTTGTTGTCTGGCTACATTTCCCCCTGATGTCGCCGGGCAGCGTTACCAATAGCATGCCAACATGAAAGGACAGCTTTTAACGTCACTAGTCACGTTTCCATTACAGTTTTGTGCAAAATAAATGTGATATTTCTAAAGTTTTGACCAAGTACAATTGTGACTTGCAGGTGTTTCCATTA